ACTATTAATATATAATATTAAAATATATATTTTAATATATTTAATAACATATATACTGTTTAGTGAAAAGTCTTTTAGTAGTTTTTTAGTTTAGTGAAAATCGTTTAATCAAATTGTAATTATTATTAGTAAAAAATACTTCAATAAAAATGTTTTTTATAGAATTATTTTTTAATAAAAAAAAGATAAATATGCTTGGTATTATATAAAATTACTTCGACTTCAAATCACATATTCTTGGAGCTACTTGAATTCATAATTAAATGTTTATCTAGATAAAGATACTATCCGGATTCTGGGTGCAGGATTATTTGTAAAAAGAAGGTCATGGCAGTTTAAAGGCCATGGCATACATATGTACGTAGTTGTCAGTGAAATTTTATGTGCCTATTGGTATAATGATAATAATGGATTTTCCATTTTGAATGGATGTTAAAAAGGTGATGGCGGATTCCTACGTTGCATGATTGTTTATGGAATGTTAGTTATTAAATGTTTCACGCGTATGACTAGTTGAGCAAGGATAAAAATGAAAAACAATGTACTTGACTGTGAATGCAAAGATATTGACCAAATTATGCGTTCTGTTTGTGTAAAGATGGTGACGTCATTTATTTGAATTACGATGGGAATAGCATTCTACTTTGCATGACTGTACAAAGATTATGATGGAATATCACATTGGTTGAGTGAAGATGATAAGAAAATTTTACTTCTTATGGTTATTAATGCATAAATAAGTGCAAAAATGATTATGTAATTTCATCCCGCATGCATATATATATATATATATATATATATGTATATATACCTCAGTGTTTAAGAGCAATGCATATATAAACATATATTTTATATGCACTATTTGACTACTTTCCATTCAGCCATTATCACATTAAAACAAAATAAATAAAAAAAAACTCTGCTTTTACTTCGAAAGATGATATAAATTGTAGATGTTAATAAAACTTAATTGATTAAAATACAGTAAATTCATTGATGTATGGCTCTTCAAGAATAAGTTTAGACAAGTAAGTAAAATAGCACGAAAAATGTTGATTGAAATATTTAAAATGCCCTTTTTTAACCTTCTGAACAATAATTCACATTTGAATCGTTTAGATTAAACATTTATGGCAGTAAATTTAATTCCGCAGTTAGCCTTATCTTTCAAAAGTTCAGCCCCCTGAATTTTCTTTTATTATAATTAGCGTTTAAGAGAATTTAAGCAAGATTTTGTATTAATGTCAAGCTTTGATAACAGAAAAAATTAATATATTAAATTACATTCCTTTCTGTCAATTGTTTTTTTAATAATTTATACGCTCTTGTAATAAATAAAAACGAAAAACATTAATATTTGTAGATAACACGCTATAGTGAACTTTCTATGGACACAGCAATAAGTCTGCTATAAATGACATGGTTCGCTACATCCAAAATCTTTTAAACGTTAGTCAGTAGTATTATTGAAGTAAGCGAATTAACAAAATTTTTAATCCAAATGTTAAATAACGTTCAAAGTATTTTTTATAGAACAAAGTGACTGCCCCCGCCCCCCTATAACTTACTTTTCAGTTTCTGTTATTTTTGGAAAGTTTCAGATGTTTATCTTTTCAATTTTTGCCATATTTGGAAAATTTTAGATGCTTATCTTTTCAGTATCCGTTATTTTTGGAAAGTTTTAGATATTTATCTTCTCAATTTTCAAAAGTTTTAGATGTTGTTCTTTTCAGTTTTTGCAATTTTTGGAAAGTTTTAGATGTTTTCCTTTTCAGTTTTTGTCATTTTTGGAAAGTTTCAGATAATTTTATCATTTCAGTTTTCGTCCTTCGCAGAAAGTTTTAGATGCTTATTGTTTTATTTTTAAAGAAACTTACAATGAAACTATGGAATTTCTGAACAACCCATTCATTGTTCCACGAGCCTGTTTTTGGAATCACATGCATTAGTCTTTACAGCGGAATTAGTCATTTTGAACACTACTTTACAATGTGATTAATTGTTACAATGTGTCTTAAATAATAAAATTTCATTTAGCCCGGACCCGTCGTAAAGTCGTAACTATGTATTTATCATATAGACTAAAAATGTTGCAACATTTATTTAAATACACATAAAAATGAAATTGTCTACTATAAACAAAATACCAATTTCTTAGCTCTTCAGTAAAAACGAATGTAATAAAAATAATTAAATAATAGTTCGAACGGAATCCCTAAACCGTTCACTACAACCGAGTGTTCACTATATCCGTTGTTCATTATAACGGGGTTAGATTGTATTATGATTTCGTGCATCGACGTTAGGCCAAAATTATTTCACGAATTCTTAAAATGATTTGCTACTTTTATGGATCTCGTGACCATTCGAAACGTGCTTGGTATCGTTGTTTACACACTTTATGATTTCAAATTGTCGCTTCTGTCAACGAAGTTATCAGAGGATGATTGAGAGCATTAAATAAAGTATTAGCAGGAAAGTTTTCGTCGATGATGATTTCATTACCACTTTCCTACTACGGATTATAAGCAAGCGAAGCGTTGAATAATTATATGCATTATTCGAAAGAAGATTTCCTCTTGTCTTCTGAGGGAAAAAAAAATATAACGAATGAAACCATGTGGAAGGGATATAAAATTTCATACTAACGGCTATCGTTTGTTTATAACAAGCTTTCAAGTAGAGATGTGCCACTTAAATATTCAGGTACCTGGTTGATCCGGTCATATATTCGTTACCCGGACCCGGGAAATAAATTTTACTACCAGATGTCGTGTACCTGAACCCAGTTTTTAGCTAAAAGAACTGGTTATGAGTTCCTGGACTCAACATATTTAGAAATAGAATAACTTTAAAATTATTTATCTATGTAGTTTTGGAAATTATAATTCATTGCAAGATAAGAAAAGACAATTGCTGTATAAGATTTAAGTAATCATCCGCGACTGCATATAGTTCTGTTTTATTTCACTATAAAATTATACAAGTATGCTTTCAAAACAATATAAAAGCTTTTAAAAGGTTAAACACGTCAGGCAGAAATTTATTTCGAGCTATTTTTTATGCTATATATCACAAAATTATTTAAGAAAAAAGATAATAGCTTCGTAGCCTTACTGGAATCCTAGACTTGGCGACTTATTTCGATAAATAAGGATCATTCATTCTTGCAAAAGAGACAACTACATGACGTTGCAAGAGCATTGAGCTTGATTGGAATATTAAAAATGGCGCGCAATATACTAACATGCTCTTAATAAGTAAAATGAGAGATAAAGAGTTTTTTAAATTTTTTAGTTTCATTTATTTTAAATTTTTGCTTCTATGTAGAAGGAAATCGTCTGCAAGAAACAAATGTTTATTATACTTCCATTAGTTTCTTTAAATGCGGACAGAAAAACGGATATTTGTTACGATATACGATTTACAGATCATAGTTTTTATTCAATAAATTTTATTTTCTTCATTTTACACGATTCATCATTGATCATTTGATTTGGATTTGAATTGGAAGATCATTGGATTTGATTGGGCTACTAAAAATGGCGCGTTTTATGCAGACATGCAATTAATAAATCAAATGAAAAGACTTTACTTTTGTTTCGCTGTAGAAGAAAATCGTTTGCAAGAAGCAATATTTATTATTCTTTCATCAGTTTCTTTAAATGCGAACAGAAAGACGTATATTTCTTACGATTTTTAGACATCAATCTTCCTGATTCTAATTACTTGTTAACACACTTGTATTAAACAAACAAAAAGGAGGCTATGTAACGTTGTTTCAAGAGTCGGTGATGTTAATATACGTCCGCGCTGGGAGCTTGGCATCCATTTGGCGTGCATTCAGATACAAACAGAATCTCTCCGTAGGGATAATGGTTTTTTCTTAACTTGCAACAGAGAATTTCTTCGTAATAATCAGGCTAAAATAACTATTGATATATGATATATTTTTCTTTTGAGCCGAATTTTTATTCTGATAAACCTCGGGACAGAGAAATATATTTCCTAAAGAGTGATGACTGCTGAGAAGAAATCATACATGGAAAGGGTACTTTTGAAAAGTAACGAGTACAAGTACAAAATACTTTAAACAAAAGTAACGATTAAAAAGAAAAAAGCTTTTATTTTTAAAAGTAACGAGTAAGAAGTACAAGTACAAGACAAAAATAGTAACGATTTCAAAGTACCTTTCAAGGAAATCGA